ATTCCCACTTTTCTCCTCCCAACCATTATCACGCCTGTGGAACAGGTGAAGGGACAAAGCCCCCAGAGGTCGCATCAGCTGCCCAAGATGAATGAGCTGCCCCAAAGAGCACCAGGGCGTTGGCTCTGGGCTCTGTGCAGGGACCGCTAGCCTGTCCCCCACGTGACCCTGCACAGGAGCCCCGAGACAGTGCCTGCTGCGAGGGTTCAGCTCCCAGGGCACTGTCAGGACAGCCTCCTGTCAGCCAGCTGGCCCTCCGTGCTGGTGGGCTGGAACAGGTCATCACCCCCGCTCAGGGTGCCACTTCTCTGCCACGGTCCCTGGGCCAGGGGCAGCCTGTGGGTGAGCTGCCTTTCCTCTCTTCTGTACAAAGGGAAAGACATGTTGACGCCAGCCCTCCTTCTTGCAACGGCCTGTCCTGGGGGAGCCAGACGACACTCCCCAGCTGGGTCCTGATGAGCCACAGGTGCCCAGAGAGTTTACGGGCTTCTCCCCCGCACAGGCACGCGGAGGCCCAGCTGCGCCGCCCCAGGGTGACTCACTGAAGGGCTGCAGCTGCAGAGACGGAGCACGCTCCCCTCCTGGGTGGTCTCAGGCGGCATCTGGAGACCCAGGGAATGGCAGGCTCACCTCTCCCCAGACCTAAGCTTTCTCAAAGGTCTGTGGTATCTGTGTCACACTGAGATGGAAGCAAGCTTGCCCGCGCTACGTCGTCAGCATGCCTCTTGTATGGGAAGCTGGAGAAACTGAGACCCTGAAAGGTGATGGGGCTCCATGTGCTCACAGCCACCTCCTGCTGCAAGGTGCATCTACACTCTGGATGAGGATGAGGTGCTGTGCCCCCGAATTGGGGCCGTCTCCTCCCCTCCCAGACTGGGCACTGTGGACTGGGCATGGGTTTCCCTGCCAGACTCGGATTCTCCAGGTGCTGCCCAAGGCCACAAAACTCAAGAGGTTATGTTAACGCTAGGAGAGCCCCGGGGGCAGTGACCAGGTGGGCTCTATAGACGACACAGGGCTGGCACACCTGCAAATGGCTCCAGAGTCAAGGACCTGTGTAGGCATCTAAAATGAAAAGATTAAGACACACACCTGGAATAGAGCTGGTCAGCCTGGGTACCATGTTATTAACAGGGTACCCCAACACATGGGGCATGACTGGGCCACATCCCAAGTCACCCTGTAGCTTGCTAAGAAAATGCAGCTTTCTGGGCCCATCCTCAGGGACTTGCCATCAGGGTGTCTGGATCGGAGCCCAGGAATCTGTATGCTCAACATGCCTCTGAGGGGTGCTGACACTGGCTGCAGAGCCCAGTGGGAGGGGAAACAACTTCATAGCCAGGAGCTTGTGGCCTCGGAGACGCTGGGCTCACCAGCTTCTTATCTCATCCCCCAAAAGACCCCAAACCATATATGCCCAGTTGACCATTGTACCCTTTGCCCCTTCTCAGCAGTCCAAGCGGGTAGTCCTTCCCCGACCCGGGCAGCCAAACTAAACTGTCTGCCTCAGCGTGCACAGCGCCTGGACAAGCCAAATGTCACGGCACAGACATCCAAGCCCAGAGCCTATCTGAGGGGGGGGCGACAGGAAATGGGGCACCATGTCAGGGGTAAAGTGAGTAATCCTGGCTCTGACTCTAGGCAGCTTCTTGTGACCACTAGGATGCACTCCCTGTGGATGAAGCAGGATCCCCAGGTGGCTGCCAGAATGGGGAGCGCTGGCGCTCCCCAGGGGCCTCCGTTTCCTCACCCGTACCATGGGCATGTGAGTGACAGCACCTGCCTCACTGGATAATGCTGAGGATTACAGGAGACAATGGCATAAAGCACTTATTTTGTGCTTAGGAGCCACCACATGTTGAGCAATTCACCTCTTCACTTGCATGAGCTCATCTAATCCTGCGCAGCCATCCTGGGAGGTGGAAGCTATTATTAACCCCATTTTCCAGATGACGGACATTAAGTGACTCACCCTTGATCAGGTGGCTAGAAACAGCAGACCTGGGATTTGAACCCAGGTGTCCGGCCAGCTGCTGAGCCCAAGCTCTAACAAACCATCAGGCTGTGCCCCCTCAATAAACGCTAAGTCTTATCCACAGGGGGCAGAAGCTGGACAAAAGGGGCACAGAGACCCTGACTTTGGAAGAGAAAGACGACAGCCCGGCACTGAGGAAACTGGGTTGAGTGTCACTTAAGAAAAAACCAAATCTGGGCCACTGTGAGCCAGCAGGGCAGGTAGAACAGAGGAGCACAGGACCCACTGGGGTCGGTGTGGACGGTCTAGCCCATATCCACACGTCCAGGGGAATGGCTGCTCCGAAGGGAGGAATGAGGTCTACCTGCACGTCATCTTCACCTCAGCCCCGGTATGTCCCACAGGGCCTTGTAAGACCAAAGAAGAGGTGAGCCACTCAAGTGCCAAATAAGTGTGGAATTCCTCTTATGCTCTGTTCTCCATCCAGAGATTCACAGTGGACACTGGCAAACTAAAGGCTCTGGGAAGTCCTTGCAGAGAAACCTCTGTAGTTTACCCACCTAGCATTGCTCACTTAACTGACCATAAATTCTTCCCTTGGCCCTGGCACACCCATGGACTGTCACAGAACACAGTGTAAGAAATTGTGGTATAGAGCAGAGGTGGCAAACTTTTTCTGTAAATAGTATTTCCGAAAATCATAAATATTTTCAGCTTTGTGGGCCACAGAGTTTCTGTGACAACTACTCCTCTATTATTGCTACAGCACAAAAGCAGACAAGATGGCACATCAGTTAATGAGTAAGGCTGTGTATTCATAAACTTTAATTTACGAACACCAAAATGTAAACTTTATCTAATTTTACATGTCATGAAATATACTCTTGATTTTTCTCAGCCATTTAAATATGTGAAAACTATTCTTAGCTCACGGGTCTCACAAAGACAGGCGTCACGTGGAATTTGGCCCACCAGGCATAGTTTAGTAATCCAACAAAGGGCAATGGGAAACTCCAGCACCTTCTAAGACCCCACCACCCCTTTAAGTGTCAGGGGCATGGAAAGGAGAAGGAAGTGGGGGTGATGTTGGGGGGACGCCATCAGTAGAAAGACAGGTGTGGTCCTATACTTGGTGGCCGCCCCCCACACCGCATGTGGCCTTAGGTAAGTAATTCTGGTTTTCTGAGCTCAGGCAGAGAGGGTTCTGAAACTCTAGGCTACCCTGATAGGAAGGAAAGAAGCTTTTTTTCCCTCCAAAGCCCAGGAGTGATAAAGGGGAAGGTTATAAAATTTCTCTACACTGTCTCAATCCACTTGGCATCACCCAGTATTAAAACCACAGCAAAAAGAAAATCTGAAAACTGGGATAATATTTGCAGCTCAAATCCCAAAGGACCATGTCCCTAAAATACAAAGAAGACCAACACCCTATTAGAATAGTGGGCAGAGGCTACCAGCAAACGGGGCCCAGGGGAGAAACTGCAAATAGCTTATAGAAAGGGCTCAGCTTCACTCATAAGAGGGGAAAGCGAGCAGAACTGTACGATCCTGTCTGTCGCCTGTCAGATTAGCAAAGATAGGCAAGGGTGAGAGCTTGTACTGACAAGGGGAACTGGTGCTCATGGGTACCGTTTGTGGAGGTGCAGATGGAATGCAAAGAGGGCAAAGCGACAGTAGCTCACAAAACTGCAAACAGACCATGTCACTTTCAGGAATTTATCCCAGAGCCATACTCACTCAAGTGGATGCCGACACATGCCCTGAGGATTTCCCCAGCCCTGTTTGTAAAAGTCAAAGACTGGAAAACACTTAGACGACCATCTCAGGGGACTACATAAGCCAATTTTGGTGGTGATAATACTAATATTACTATTAAATACAACAGCTCTTATTTAGGGCATGTGCACTATGAGCCAGGTCCTGTTCTTGGCCGTCACTCCTCGAAGCAGAGTCCAGGGACCAGCCGCCTCTGTACCACCCAGAGGCTGGTTGGAAAGGCAGATCTGCCCCAGACCTGCTGAATCAGCCTGCATTTTACCAAGATGGCCGGGGATTCCCTATGCACATTCATGCGCTGCTTTTAAACTCTTGTACTAACTCAATCTCAGAGCAACCCAATGGCCCAGCCCTCTTATTACCTGCAAGCTAGAGATGAGGAGCCCAGGGTCTGAAAGGATAGGGAAGCTGTCCAAAGCCACACAGCGAGCGAGCACAGAGCATCCCTCACTTCACAGGTACACAAAAACACAATGGCCTTTAAACAGATGACAAAGCTCTTTCATGTCTCAAAGGACCAACTTCCAAGATAAGCTGTCACATAAAAAAGCAACGTGAAAAACACAGTATATACTAGGCCACTATTTGTGGGAGAGAGAAAAAGAAAAGTAGAATCAACATGTTTTCAGCACCCAGAGGGCACCTCTGCAAAGACATCCAAAAACACGGAAAGAGCAGTTGCCTCTGGGAGGTGGAACTCAGCAGCTGGGGGATGCTGGGGAAACTATTCAGTGTCGCACACATCTCTAACTTGAATTTTGAGCCACGGCAAGTATTTCCTATCCTAAAATAATATTTTTCCCCTTAAAATTTGTATCAGGAAGAAGCTACATTCCCCCAACCCTTCCACACTTAATAAGAAACACACTCTGGAGGAGAAGGAATTGGCACAGCCAGGCACCCCTAGTTCCCCACCCACTTTCCTGTCCACGCTTCGCAAAGACCAGCCATGGGAGCGAAAGGTGCAGGCGGCAGGCAGGTGAGCAGTGGATACTCTGAGAGTTTGGGACTCAGAACCACATCCAGGGTCTCTTGGAAGGGACTAGGGCAGTGGTCCTTAACCAAGGGCAATTTTACCCTACAGGGAACATTTGGCAACATCTGGAGATACATTTGGGTGTCACAACTGAAAGATGCTCCTGGCATCTAGCAGGGAGAGGCCAGGGACACCACACAGCCCCAAGAGCCTATATAAGTCTGGGGGTACAAGCTGCATCAGAATGAGCTGGAGTGGTGGCTGGGGACTTACCATCCAACGTCTCTACAGAGAGCTGCAGGCCCAGGTTGTGCCGCGGGTTGACGACCCAGTGGTTGCTGGTGGCCGTGATGTCAAACACCAGCCAGCCCTCCTCCGAGGCCCAGAGGGTGCGGCTGTCGAGCAGGAACAGGTCTGACTCCCTGTAAGAGAGATGAGAGAGACTCAGGCTCTAGGTCAGTGGGTCATGGCTCAGCCACCCCATCAGCCAGCTGGCCTCAGTCCCCAATGGAGAGGAGGACCATGTGGGCAGGGGAGGCAGGGGAAGCCCAGCAGTCCTGTAAAAGTGGGTGCACCCGACCAAGATCCAGGCATGAAGACCCTAGAGGTGACGGGGAAAGGCAGTTCAGAAGAGGGGTACAGAGGCACACGCAGGGCCCCTGGAGCTGCTACGAGGCAAGCTCGCCCTTCAAACTTGTTAGGGGGGAAGGCCAGTGGGACAGAGCGCAGGAAGGCAGAAATCACTCCAGGTTGCTGGAAGCCTCGGGGAAAAGTCGCAGGTCCACATCGCTGGATTATTCACCACTTACCAGGCACTGTCCCGCGTTCAGCACACATCCCCTCATTCTCACAGCCCCAAGTTGTACGGCTATTATGTTAACTGAGGACATGGTGAAATCAGGACTCGCCCATCGTTTAGCCAGGCTGGGTTTGAGCCCAGGCGCTGAGTGCCGGTGCACACAGTCTTCAGTTCCAGGCTATGCGCTTGGGGGGCCCACTGAGTGGGAGCTGACGCCCAGGCGGATGTCATTAAGACAGGGAACTTGTTTTCTCTTCTTCACATTTTGCAGTAGCAAAATGGGTAAAACCTCAATTGACTGTGTGGTGGATAGAAGATGGATGAATCGATAGACAGATGGGTGGGGGCACAGGGGGATGGAATTTTAAATTCCTGGTTAGGAGAATTCTAGTATATAAGGTCCATAACATGTCTTGTGTACTTTTAACTATAAGCATTCAAAGTTTCAACATTTTAAGTCCTTTGATAGTCAATTAAAATATTTGAGCCCCTGTTCGTTATGCTTCAGAC